GAGCAGGGAGCCTGATGTGGGGCTCGATCCCAGGACCCTGGGATCATGACCTGAGCTGAAGGCAGACGCTTAAGGACTGAGCCACCCAGAAGCCCCAGGCGCTGGGGATATTACTGGCATAGATGGTGGAGAAGGGCCAGGGGTGTTAAGTGACCTGCAGGACAGGGGAAGGGCAAGGCTGCCTACAACAGAGCTGTCACACTCAAAATGCCATGGCATCCCCATTGAGAAACAGACATTTAAGAGAACTTGGTTGGAAAAATGTAGTATAAAAACCTCTCAAAACTTCTAGGAAGAGTTCAAAGAGCATCAGAAACATTGGGGCTATCACAGTGGATGAGGCTTGGAGCCTCCTCTTTTCAGTATTCGGTCTTTGATATTTGCACTGCCAATGGGGAGTTCGAAGGGGTACTCTTGAGCACATTACCACAGAGTTTGTATAGGAGCACCTCTCGTTTGCTTTTAAAAGAGATTTGTGGTATCACATTCATGTTTGAAACTGACACTTGAAAATTATTAATAACCAGTTTAATAGTTACAAATAATTTTTTCTTTGGGGGATGTGTATGTGGTAATTTTTTCTCCTGTTTAAAAGATTATAAGATGAGATAATGTATATGAAACTCTTAGTTTGATATCTGGCATGTAGGAACTCAGGAACTATTAGTCATAACGTTAACTTATGTTTATAACAGTTGTTAATTAACCTTTGTTATATTTGTTATATGTTTTCAGAGAGCTGTTGCTTACCTTTTTCCAAGTGGTTTGTTTGAGAAGCAAGCCAGGCCAATAATGAAGGTAGTTCTCTTCATTAATATTTTTTAAAATTTCACTTAGGTTTATAATATGTTACAGTAATAATCTAATTCATTGTAATTTATTTTACAGCATCCTGAACAGATTTTTCCAAAACAAAGAGGTAAGTTTGCTCAAGAATGAATGAGCATTCTTCCTTTACCGCAGTGTTATGTTACATATCAGCAGTCGCCCACATATGGTGGAGACAGACCCCTGTGTTGTGACAGTTGTGAGGTCGGTCAGTGATATTTTATAACTAACAATAAATGACTGGAATTTATAGACTATTTCTTTCTAATTAAATAATATTATAATTAGATCAGGTTAGAGTTTATGCCTATTCTAATGTCACATTCTAATATGCTTTTTTGAGGAAGAGATTGGTACAGATCTGCTGGAGACTAATTCAACTTTTTTTATTTGAAAATTTAAAATTTTTGTTCATTTCGGAAGCATATTTTCACTGAATATAGACCCCCCTTTTTTTGTCTTTCCTTTATTGATATGATTACATTGTCTTTTGTCTTGCATTGTTTCTGATAAGCAGTTAGCCATCATTCTTGCCTGGCCCTCTGTTTTCTCTGGCTTCTTTTAAGATTTTCTCTTTATCTCTTAAATGTGTAGAATTCAATTTTGAAGAAAACATATACAGGCTTTAAGTTTGCCGGGAAATAATATATTTACTATTTTCCAGTTTACATTAAAAGCCTGTTAGCCAACGTGGACTGGTGGTAGTTATCAGTTAATTTAAAAAGTACTAAAGCTAGGGTGTTTCAGTGGGTCAAGCCTTGGACTCTTAATCTCAGCTCAGGTCTTGATCTCGAGGGTCATGAGTTCAAGCCCCACATTGGGCTCCATGCTGGGCATTGAGCCTACTTTTAAAAAAACCTTTTTTTTAAGTACTAAAACTAGAAATTACTTCTTAAAAACACTCAGTATAAATTTATATTTATTCATCAATCTTTTGCTACAACCCTAGACAGTTTTTTCTTTAAGCAGGTATCTGTTTCTCCCTGTTTCTTTTGCATAACCCTGCTGTCACTGACACATCATCAAAGTTTTTTAGTTTTGATTTCCTCATAGTGGAGCAAAGAACTTAAACTTTCTAAGAAATCTGAGTGTAGAATATTTCTGTATTTCTACAGATTTTTCCTCTAACCACACTGAAGTGGAGTAAACTTTTTTTTTTTTTAGTAACTTGCCTTTCAGTTTTTCTAAAGCATTCAACTTAGTTTTCACAGCAGCGAAAACTGTCTTTTCTGTTTCCACTCATATTTCATCTGTTTATGTAATACTTAATTCATGTAATTACAGAAATAAATATAATTGTAATAAACAGGTTTGGGAATGGACACAGCTAACTCTTAGTAAGCATGTAACTCTGCAGCAAAGATGTGTAGATTTCCTAGAGGAGAGCCTGGTAGCCACAGATGCTCATTGTGCAGGCGGTATTACTCAGTATCTTTTAGAGCCAATTCAGTGGAGATTGGTAAGAGAGCAGATATTTCAATAAAAAATGTACTTGTTTTGCACTGATATTTCTGCTAAGTCTTAACCTGTGTTCAAAGCTAGGCATTCTTTTTTTTTTAAGATTTTATTTATTTATTTGAGAATGAGCGAGAGAGAGCAGGAGCAGAGGGCGAAGCAGAGGCAGAGGGCATGAGGAGGGGCAGAGGGAGAAGCAGACTCCCTGCCGAGCAGGGAGCCTGACGTGGGGCTCGATCCCAGGACCCTGGGATCATGACTTGAGCCGAAGGCAGACACTTAACCGACTGAGCCACCCAGGCGTCCCTTCGCCGCTTGAAATGTTAACTTTTATTTTGAATCTTGTTATAAAAATTAGGGGTTTTTCTATAAATATATTGTCTTTTATATTTCCTCATTTCTTTGACATAGTTGATTATAAACTATAACATCATTTCAATTGATAGCTCTTGAGGAGATAATAAATGAAGGCTGTGTTACAAGTGCACATCAGTTTTAAAGATGCAGCTCAGCTTTATTGAAATAAAACTATATACAAGGCATAGAAACTTAATGGCTTTTCTGTAAATGTGGTAACTGTTTTTTCTTATTTTTAGTGGCTTCTCTATTTTTCAGCCTCACAGTCTCCTCACTTACATGTCTTTGATCTCTTTGTCTCTTTGCATCTCTTATACCTCTGCCCCTCTGAAACTGTTTCTTTCAAATCATACCAGCTTCTCAGTATTAGAAGTTTGTTATTACTATCAGCTAGAATGTAACAACTGAAATGTCTAGACATCCCTGCAAAATGCTCCTGTTATTTTGGAACTATGTCAGTATTGGTAGGATTTTATTACATATTGCAGTTAACTATATTTAGACAGGATTCCTTTAGAATTAGCAAAATATTTTTTGCCACCTACCTACCAATTTTGCTGTACTTTGTAAACATAAGACAAACTAATTTTTTATGTTAAAAAATATCAGTGAAATTTAGATTTGAATAGATATGATGCTTGTAAAGTGCCGTTACTTCCTTTATTAAAAGATAGAAGCTTCCAGATTGAGTTAACATAAAAATCCTGCTCTACTGTTTAAGGCAAGTGATAAAAATATCGGAAAAAACAAAGATATATGCCAGATTGATGACAGATGCAAGGAAGAGTGCCTAACACTAGATGAAATGGAATTCAGGGGGGTCGAGGAGTGGTTCGATGAGACAAGAATTTTAATTGATATTGATAGAATCTAATACCCTTTAAGTGGATTTGATGACCATGAATCTTTTTGTACCATGCATTTAGCATTGAAATGTTCATAGCAAAAGCTGTTAAGTAAGGCTCTAAAGAATTTGAATAACACAGTATGATTTTATAGCTACACATACAAGTACAAAGAATACATTTTTCTATATGGATGCTAATGGAATATTAATAGAACTATGATGTAATAGTTCATAGAGAAAATCTAACAAATTCCAAAAAGTAGAAATGATAGATCTTCTGACTTCAAATCAATAGAACCATAAAGCTGTTGGATTAAAGAGGAAATCAGAATGGAAATCACAGATTATATAGAAATGTGGAAAGATGAGAACAATTCATATCAAACTCTACGGGATATAGACAGGTATTATGCAGAGACAGGTATTATGCAGAAGCAAACGTATTTATGAGACATTAACAGATACTAGAAATAAATGAACTCAGTATTCATTTCAAGAAGGTAGGAAAGGAACTAAGTTGATGAATGAAGAAATTTTGAGGTAGGATAAATAAAACCAACTAGTTCTTCGAAAAAGCCAATGAAATTGATCAACTTCTGGCAAGTCTGGTCAAGGAAAAAAGAAAACATAAAATTTAGGACAATATTAATCATTTTAAATAACATTCAGAGGATAGTTTTAAAGTGAAGATTGTTGTGGGTAGCTTTATTCTAATTAATTTGAAAAATATCCTAATTAATAGGGACGCCTGGGTGGTTCAGTTGGTTAGGCATCTTCCTTCGGCTCAGGTCATGATCCCAGGACCCTTGCTCAGCAGGGAGCCCGCTTCTCCCTCGGCCTGCCGCTCCCCTTGCTTGAGCTCTCTCTCTCACTCATTCTCTGACAAATAAATAAATAAAATCTTTAAAATATGTATATCCTAATTAATAACTAGTATTTATTGAAACGTAGAGTGGGCCAGGCAACAGTTCTAAATGCTTTGTATGTATTTACTCATAATCTTCACCACAGTTTTATTAAGTAGATACTATCATGTTCCCCATTTTACAGATGAAGGAATTAAAACCTGGAGAGTAATCTTCCAAGAACACACAGCTAGGAAGTGGCTGAGGCAGGGGGGAGGAGTTAAGATGGTGGAGGAGTAGGGGGACCGTAAGCTTGCTTCGTCCCTCAATCACAGCTAGATAAATATCAAATCGTTCTGAACACCCAAGAAATCAATCTGACTGAGAGAATAAAACTGCAAGCCTGCAAGGAAGTGGCTGAGGTAGGATGTAGGTAGGCCCTGACAGTCTCGACTCCGAAGCACTGCCACACCTCCCTGACTCTCAAACAGTAATACAACAGTATTGTCTTAGGGAGAATATTGGTTAGACTAAAAGCTGGAGAAGTCAAAGGTAATCAGA